TGAAGAGAGGCAGTTTCTGCCCTTTAGGCGGAGTTTCCTATGGATTAGGGGAAACGGTCTGGAATAAGACACAGTTGGGAATCAGGGCACTAAGTTCCAATTATGATTCTGTCATTGGTTGGCCATGTGATTGTATAGGGTTGAATGGGTCACTTAAAAAATGAAGGAATCACATGAAGAGGTGAAACTGTAAAATGAAGGAATGAAATGTGATAGCATTTCTCTAGGCAAATTCCAAATAAAAAAATATGGCTAAATAAATTTGGAAGCCCTCACACAGCATCAGATAGATTCACAAAGCATTTAGTGTAGCAAAGGCTCCCAAAGCCCTGCTGTAATGGAAATTTTAAAATTCGTCAATTTCTAAACTTAATTTATCACATGACACCTGTTAATATTTGTAGAACATTCTTAAGAAATGAATGGTCTCTATGCCCCTTCCAGCTTTAAAATGCCATCATTAATATTTTTTACTTTACCTCTTCCCTCTGCTTTTGATATATTTAGTCTTTCATGGAGTCTTTACTTTTCACTTTACTGCTATTTAAATGCTCACTTGGTACTCTAACAGGGTTGGATTAAATAATCTCTAAAAATCTGTACAAATCCGGAAATTTGATGGTTCTTTGAAAACATGAAAGCATCTACTGAAGACTGAAAGAGAAGGTATATAACCCAGGCTGTCACCAACTCAGCACTAACATTTACTAAATGAGACCTTTGAGATTCTTATGTTTTAAGTTCAGCCAGAGTACCATCACATTCCTGGCAGAGGCTTGAGGCACAGGAATGACAGCAGAATACAGATAACGGATAGCAAACTTTAGAATAACTATAGAAGTCAACTACCCCACACACAGTTTAGTAAAACTTAGTTTCTTTTTCTAGTATATGATTGGTACATTTTTTTTGCTCTGCCTTGATCTTTAATATCTCATGTTTCTTTAGAAGAACAATTTTAATACATACACTCAAATTTTTCTCTATTGTCCAAGTGCTTTACTCATTAATTAGCTGATAAGATAGAAACACCAATGTGATTGATCAAAAAGAATTTACTTGTCTTCTAACACAGACGGCACAGTAAAATCTCTTGGCTTGATCTGACGCCACTGGAAGGGGCTCATGTACTATCGTTGGAATGAACGGAGGCACTAGGTGTGATACTGCACTGACAATTTCTTTTCCTTTTCTCTGCTGTTTAGGTGATGCAAAGCTGGAATACGGTGTGTTAGATTTCTTTTTAGTATGCTTCAGCTCCCAACAAGGAAACAGAGAGAAAACAACAGACTAAGGAGGAATGTTTACATGTCTGAGGCCTTTAGTGTGAGTATTCCGTATGAAGCATGTTCAGTGTGATTACTTCAAAAGCTAACACATGCCGTTTAACAGAAACAAGTAAAACATAGGATTCCTAAGGCTTGCTTTACATACAAAAGAGAAGTTATTAGAAAACCCAGCATGTGTGTGTAAATATCTAATTTTTTTTTGGATAGAGGGCCCGGCTCTGTCACCCAGGGTGGAGTGCAGTGGCACAATCTTAGCTCACTGCAGCCTTGGCCTCCCAGAATAATGCAATCCTACCCACCTCAGCCTCCTGAGTAGCTGGGACCACAGGCGCGTGCCACCACACCAAGCTAATTTTTGTATTTTTTGTAGAGACTGTGTTTCACCATGTTGTCCAGGTTGGTCTTCAACTCTTGGGCTCAAGCAATTGTCCCTGCTTGGCCTCCCAAAGTGCTGGGATTACAGGCATGAGCTGCCACACCCGGCCAAATCCAGTATATTTTGAAATTGTGCCCTAAAATACAGTAACATTGGATTATAATATAAGCAAAATTACTATTGAAAATAAAGTATGAACTAACATAAGGCCTTAGCAAGACTAATTTTAAAGTAAAAAGCAAGATTTCATATAAGACATTCTTATTCTAACCCTTAATAATTCCTGGGAACCTAAGTTCAACAATCTAATCAGTACTCAGGAGAATCATCATAGCATGTACACAAAATAGAGAATAAAATTTTAATGGTATCAAAAACAAAACTTTTTTTTGGCCGATTTAGTACTTGCTGGAATAAAGTTGCAAAATGTTACTCAGTAACTGACTCAGCTTCTCATCAAGCCAGAATTACACATACTCTGTATATTAATTGAGTATATACAAATACATCCAATGTTAACATGCACAGACATAGAAACCAGGATGCTACAAAAGAAAATCACCATCTCTACTGATGAAATAATGAACTGAAAACAAAACATCCACCCAGTAGTCCAGAACATCTTATTTTTGAAAAGGTTCTGAATATTGCTCTTTCCAAGAATTTAAATAAACGCCAAACAGTTAAATTTGACTGTTTTCTCAATATGAAAAAAAGCAGACATATTCCTATAGCTATAGGAACATACCTTTTACTCAGTCATATCAAATTACAAGGTTTGACATAATTTCACTCTTCTCAGGTTAAAAGGGCTCTTCATATTCTAGTGGTTAAGAATATATCCCTTAAAGTTCTTATGCATTTGAGTGTCATACCACCTACTGCAACATATGCTCAAGTACCTTTAACGATACAGTCATATAGCATGAGTTAATTTTCCTGAGAACTAAATTAGACCTACAAAATAAACAGGCTATGAAAATGACCTGAGTTTATAGGAATCTCTAAGTTAGAGATTACTTTAGCTTTGCTAAGATTCCATCAAAAGCCTTTTATAGTAAGGGTTTCTTAGTGAGTCACATACTTGGTCATGGACCCTTGGAATTTTTTGAACATGAAAAAGAAGTGCTTTATGTTGTGCAAATTCAACAAAAGGCTGAAGCAGCCAACAGTACTGATAGTGCTAAGTAAAACCTACAAGTAAGCCACAGGTTCTACTATCTTATGAAGAAAGGAGTAGGTGAGATATACGGCTGACCAAGTCTGCTCCCAGTTTGACAATGATTATTGGGAAGCTAAGCAATTCCTTCCAAGATAAGAAAAAGACAGCACCTTAAGTGGAACCTAGGGAAAACCACTCAGAAGTGAGGGTTGTGTCCAACAGGGATGTCTACTGATCCCCTCTAGATAACACTTCTTTTGTGTAAGAACCCAAGAACATGGAAGTCAAGCAGGGAAACACTGGCTTCATGGTTATTTCTCTGAATTATGAATTGCAACTTCTGTTATTGTTTGCACACTACTAAAAGGTCACATGTGAATTAAGTCATTGAACAGCATATAAGAGTATGGTCTGGCTTCAATTCAAGCTTTTCTGTTTTTTTAGAGACAGGGTCTGACTCTGTCACCCAGGCTGGAGTATAGGGGTGTGATCAGAGTTCACTGCAGCCTTGAACTTCTGGGATCAGGTGATCCTCCTGCCTCAGCCTCTTAACTGGGACTACAGGTGTACAGCACTACAAATGGCTAATTTTTCTTATTTTTTTTTTTTTGCAGAGAGGGGCCTCACTATGTTGCCCAAGCTGGTCTCAAACTCCCGGGTTCAAGTGATCCTCTCACCTTGGTCTCTCAAAGCATTGGGATCACAGGCATGAGCCACGGTGACCACCCCAATCCAAGCTTTTCCGATTTGTGATGTAATCTAATTCAAGGCACTTTAAATGTTTTGGTGCCTTGCTGTATTAACATGTAACATGAGAATAAGATTTATTTACTTACCTCAAGAAGCTACCACATGGGTTATTGAATGTACTCCTCTTAAACTTTGAGCCCCTCAGATGAAAAGCACTGTGGAAATAATTACAGGTGAAGAAAACCCTTCCAATACCTAACATTTGTGCCTTCTGTCTCAATGGCACATTGACAAACAATGGTGCACTAGTTAGTGGCACTCCATCTCTTCCTATATGTTGTTTGGCACACAAATGTTTATACATTTAAAATAGCTGTCATACTGCCTATTCAAAAGCATTTACTGTTTTCTAATAAAGCTAATGAAATGTACTCATTATGGAGTACTCTGTGTTAAGTTTAGAAAAACCTTAGCTTTCTCTGAAGTACATATAACATAACAAAAAGTTTATTTAAAAAATCGAGCTAGTGTTGTATGAAGCCATAGGTTTTTAATGAAAAAAAAAAAAAAAAAAAAAAAAAGTATGCCACTCCATATAAATATGACTTCATGGGCTTGGCCTAACCAGGTCTCACACCCAGGCTATTTTATCTCTCCCAAATTTCGAATGCTGGTGGCAGGAGAAGCTGCTCTTGGGTACACAGGCAGTGCCTCACCTGTAGCCCTGGGATTCAAAGTGCCACACTTCCCTGGGTTACATTAACTGAAAATGTCAGTCCTACTCAGCCCAAGGCCAGTCTTACATTTCTGGATCTCTAGAAACTATTTCAAATTCTCAAGAAGAGGTTCCCCAAGCTAATCATCTTTCAGGCTACTCAGAGGACTCTGTTTCCCACCCATGGGGAGAATGGAGGGTCTCCTCGGTGTTTCCCCATCACTTGGAGATGGAGGGGAAAGTAATATCAATTCTCTGAACATTCTTTCTCAAACTTAAATGCTTCACTTTCTCTAACCAGGAAGGCTACACCTTGTTGTATCCTCTTTCTCTGACTTCAATTTTATACAGAGCTATCCATTTCCAGTTTTTTTTTTTTTTTTTTTTTNAAGTATGCCACAGTGTCTATATATTCATCTGAAGAGTACAAAGATGGAGTTCTGAGAAAAAAGGGTTTAAGACTGGAGAAGATAAATCTGGTTCTTAAGTTCAAAGCAAACATTAAAAAAGTAATGTCTCATACATTGAAATAAAGCAATCAGAGGTAATAAATTATAAATACAGTAGTTCAAATATTGTTTTAAGCATTAGTTTTTCTAAATAAGTAAAATTCAAAACATTTTAAATCTGTTATATTCCTTCAAAGGGATGTAAAAATGGAAGCCTTTGTAGAAATCTGCAACAATGATACCACCTTGTAATCTTTATAGAGAATACACTGAACCTTGACCATTTTTAATTTATAACATACTTTGGTTAATACATTAGGTTCCATATGCCTTTATACTTAGGAGGAATCAGATTGTGATTTGTAGCCTTTACATGCAGTTTACCCAAACCTTCTTCACTTCTAGGTCTTGATTCTCTGGAGAAGGTTGTATCAGACTCATAATTAAAATGATGGAAATTGTAAATAACTTCTCTGGACTGAAACCATCTTTTTTTTTTTTTTTTTTTTTAAATAAAGTGCCTTTAAATTCAAATATCTGTTGCCCTAAACCAAACTGAAATATACTTTAACCCTGAAATCTCCATATCTTGACACACACATTTTAACAGAAAAAAAAAAAAAAATCAGTTTTGGGCTATTCATGTCCTTTGAGAGTTCAGATTGGATCTAAATGGGGTTTTGCATCATTATCGTGCTCATGTTTGTACATGAAGGTTAAAAGAAAGAGGGCAACATCCAAGGATGACCAATAGGCAGTATGTGACGTGACAGCTGACCAATAGCGGCTCTCCACAAGGCCTTCTCTGAGTTCAAAATCAATCCTGTGATCCAACTCCACTAAAAAGAGAAGAAGTTAAACAAATTAATACAGGTTATAATAAGATATGTTCTATATAGACTTTAGAGTTGAGATTAAAATTTTAGCTAAATAGAAGTGACTCTATCATTTTTTTAAAAAGTGAATTTCCATTATCATCTGATGAGAAAAACACTCAAAAGAGCTTTAGTACAGGATTCTATTTCTGAAGTTCTTTCCTTTGTATGCTAAAGTTAATATGAAATAATAAAGGAAGACAAAAAAATTACTTGGCATATCACAGAATATTTCAGAGTTAAAACTACTTTAAACTTGGCATTACCATTTAATCCTCATGCCTAATCAATAAGGAAATTGCCCCTCCTGAAGATTTACAGATAATGCCCATGGGAGTGCAAGAGATCACTCAATCGCCTCCTTAGGGAGGCCCTATATATCTACCGGTTATGTAGGGGATATATTAGAAGATAACCATCTGTTTACAGTCCTAGAATGTTTTCTTCTCTACTGGGTTGAATGCCTCACAGGCAACCCCCATAAACCCTAGTCTCCATCCAGTCAGCAGGGTCTAACATGTGCCTGGGAAACACAAATGCTCATTAAGTGTTTGTTTAACAAAAGAAGAACCTACAGGGGGGTTGGGAAAGTTAAACTGGGAGGAGCAGTGGTGATTCTTGGGAGGAAGAACTTTGCTTAAAACAGTGCTGTCCACAAACAATTGAGTGAATTCAATCAAGTATTTTCTAAAACCCACGGAAAGTCCTTGCGACACCTGTTAGAGAAAAATCACCTTAACAAATCAAGGCTCTAAGATAATTCCAATGGACTCATTTAATAAATCCTTAGAGATAAACACTTAAGAAAATGACATTTTGATCTTTAGGAACTCCTTTAAAACTGTTAATGACCCATACAGTGTTTTGAAGGGTCTATGTTACAAACAAAACAAAAATACTCAAATCACTACCAACCAGACACTGTAAAGTCTGCTCCTGAACAAGCACCAAAAGATTTTAAGAGTAAAACTGGCAAAAATTAAGGAGGAGATTGGAGACAAAGTTGGGTTTTGCTTTATACTGGGAATTTGCTCATCATACATAGGAAATCATAATACTCTAGGGAAAGACTTAATATAAATTTGTAATGCTTATTTTAAATAGGTATTTTGTGACAATATTATTTGGTAATTTAAAAGTGCTTATACAGTTATTTTTCTATCAATTATGCTCTTCTTACAAGGAATGTTCAGAAATCCAGCTACACATTTTCAGAGAAGGTTTATATTTAAGTGGCATAAATACCAATTAGGCTATAAAATACTTGTAAAATATATTGGCATGGGCTTTTTGCTAAGTTTTTTAGACTGCATTTTTAAAACTGAAATTACAATAAGCTAATCCATAACAAGTCAGAAATAGCTGAAATCCATATGTGGACGTGTGAGTTAGTAAATATCCTCATCTTTTATATTCTATGGGACATCTGTATTAGATTTGTAGGTACATTCTGACACAACAGAGAGAAACATAAAAATAGAAGAAGAAACTGCATACTCAAGCACAATAAAGATGAGTCAAGATGAAGTTAATTATGAAGAGAAAAGAAGATAAAGATAGATGGGAAACGTGTTAATATTGGTGAAGACCACAAAGTTATAATTTTTAAGAATTCACTTTCAAACGCTACTCCATTATGTTTTCCTAGTCCAACACTCTTCAGTTACAATTCTGTTTAAGTCAAAGAAAGGAAGATATTTCCTCTTTATAACACGTGTTATTTGGCTCCACTTTGATTGTATGTTCTTGAAATTATTCTTTTTGTTTTGAAAAGGGGTCTCACTCTGTCGCCAGGCTGGAGTGCAGTGGCTCGATCTCAGCTCACTAGAACCTCCACCTCCTGGGTTCAAGTGATTCTCCTGCTTCAGCCTCCCGAGTAGCTGGGACTAGCGGCATGTGCCACCATGCCCAACTACTTTTTGTATTTTTAGTAGAGATGAAGTTTCACCATGTTGGATAGGATGTTCTCAATTTCTTGACCTCATGATCCGCTCACCTCGGCCTCCCAAACTGCTGGGATTACAGGTGTGAGCCACCGTGCCCAGCCTGAAATTATTCTTAATTTGCACGCTATTACTGTCTTACAACACTGCCTTTCATTGAGTAGACACTCAAATGTTAAATTTCATTCTTGTCCTATATTATGTGCCCTTATCATTTTATCACTTACAGGGACTTTAATCAGTGTCACTAACCATATTGGCTCCCCCTATCCTTTTTTTTGGGGACGGAGTTTCGCTCGTTACCCAGGCTGGAGTGCAATGGCGCGATCTCGGCTCACCGCAACCTCCGCCTCCTGGGTTCAGGCAATTCTCCTGCCTCAGCTTCCTAAGTAACTGGGATTACAGGCACGTGCCACCATGCCCAGCTAATTTTTTGTATTTTTAGTAGAGACGGGGTTTCACCGTGTTGACCAGGATGGTCTCGATCTCTTGACCTCGTGATCCACCCGCCACGGCCTCCCAAAGTGCTGGGATTACAGGCTTGAGCCACCGCGCCCGGCCCCCCCATCCTTCTATATTTCTCTACAGGTTGTCTCCATCAAAATGGGAATTAGGTAGGTAGCTTGTACTTGATGAACCTGTTTTAGGTTCTCATTCTCCCTGAAAAGGTTTATCCCAGGCAGTCTGGCAGTCAGTGCAGTGGACCTCACATCTGTGTTGGTTATGTAGGTGGATGGATGAAACTAGATGGGCCTGTGTTCCATCTTCTCTCTCCCTTTTAGGTAAACCACAGATTTCCCAAGAAAGTAAGGGTCGACATGGCAGCACCATTCTACATCTGCTGTGAGATCAGCTCTTGGCCAAAGTAGGCTCAAATATCTTAAGAATGGGTGTTGTCCTACAGGTTGGTAGTTTTTCCCTGCTTTCTCTAGGTGAGCTAGGTCAAAGAAAAAGGAGAACATAAAATCATCCTTCTTTTTCTCTCTGGAATGCCCAAGTGACAGAATTTCTCTATCCATAAGATAAAGAATCAGGTTTCTAAACAGTTGAAGAGAAGTAAAAATGAGAAAAGAAACTGTTTTTAAACAATTATCAGCTCTTTGCTTACACTATTTTAAAACAAGGATTATTTTCTTTCTGGGGTGTCACATACATGGGCATATTTCTTTCCCTGTTCCCCAAAGTAAGAGTATCTGCTATATTCCACGTGAAAGCGTCTGACAAGAATCTCCATAGTGTAAAGGTAAAGTGTCATAAGTAGTGTACTTTCATCAGAGAATTCTCCTGTGCACAAGGCTTGTCAACAGGCATATAATATTTAAAAAATATGAATAGAAAGTAAGCATCTTTGTATGGCAATGTATACTAACTGGATGGGTTTCTACCATTTGATGGAAAAATCTCAACTTCCTGGAGAGAAGTTTTCAAAAACTTAATATCTTAAAAGCTATCTTAGTTGTAAGTAATAATTATGGTCATAATTGCATTTTTGGCTTTAGGTGGACAACAAGAAAAATACTTATAGTAAAGATACTCCATTTCCAAATGACTCGTGAAAGATTCACTCATAATAAGAAAGATCATGTTCAGAGGTTTTGTTGTTATGTCTTCCTATTTCTGTGCTGCCTAAGAGCAACTCTATGTTTCATGTGGTTAAGTGTTCGACATTTGAGGAACATTTACATTTTGTGAATTACAATAGTTCCAAATATATTTAAGAATAATCTCCTACCATCCTTTATTTTAAAAAATAACAAAAACTATAAAACTAGGTTCATAATCAGTTGTTATATGTGCCCAAAAAATCGCTCTAATTTATTTCAGGATAAACTAATTTATCCTCAAAGACATACCTCACATTTGACAATAGATATGCTAGGTGGGTAAATCCTGAATACAAAGGTCTCAATCATTCATACAAAGAAATGAATGGCTAGATTTGTTGGACCCTTCCCAATTTGGTTTGACAAAATTTTCCAGGCAAATTCAGAACTACTCCCTTTTAATCGTTCTCAGTTCTTCTCAAGAAAATAAGTTATATTTCCCTTTGTACCCCATGCTTCCCACCTCTGCGGTTTTGGTCATGCTGTTTCGTCTCCCTGCAATGTCTTTTCATCTCTGCATGTCCAAACCCTCCCCCTTCCAGAGAGCCTTTTACCACTTTCCAGGTGAAAGCAATCTTTCATTCCTTAGAACTCAGAGAGTACCTCTGTTTTGTGGTTCATCACATTCTACCATATATTATAATTACTTACACAGTTATCTACCTTCCCTACTAGAATTTATGTTCCCTAGAAAAGATATAATTTTCACACTAGCTTCTTTATAGGCAGTACTGAAGTTTGTTTTGTCTTATCTTTTCTAGTGACTACCATGGTCTCTTGACTCAAGGTAAATAGTGAAGTAAATTATTGCTGAATGAATGAAAACAGGAAGTGCAAAAAGAAGCCATATAGATATTATCACCTGAGTCATATGGTATAGATATGATTACTGGTTTAACTGCTTAGGTAGGTAGGCAGGATGGTTTTGAGATACTGGATATATGGGCTACTTGGTTGCAGGATAAATATATGAGTAAATTAATTTTCCTTTCTCCAAGCAAAAAATGCAAAAAAATAAATAAAATTATTTCTTTATGAAGCAGGGACCAGAGAGAGAACTTATGTAAGATAATTTCTTAAGGGTAATTTACTGATTAGATCAACACAAACTGAATATGAGTATTTTTTAATTGAAAAAATTTAGGAAAATTGATAAAGAAACTGTAAAATGAGTTGTGGTTAAAACACTAAAAAAAAACATGTGTTTTGTCTAAGGCAAAATCCAATATCTTTTTTTTTTTTTTAAATAAAGAGAAGCTGTGGAAAAAAGAATCAGAAGTTAGTCATAAAAATAATTTTAGACTGCTAAAGTTAATCCATATACATTTAATCCATAAAATACATACTAAAAATTAAGAGATTAAAAATCTCTTGCATCCAAGAATACTGTTTTTTTAGTGAATCTACTCCCCTAAAGTACATTAAATATTCGTGTTGAAAGCAGTTATCAGCTATGACATACCTATAACCCTAAGTGATAAATTTACTGATACCTAAAATAACCAGGAATGATTAAATTCTTTGTACTATGAGAAATTCTTTTATATCTAAGTGTATTAAATGAAAAGAAATAGCAAACCTTTTTGGAGCCTTTAGGACAATAAAGAAGAAGGAAAATGACCTAATACTTTTCTTCTTTCTCTAAAAGGTTCAAAGGTTCCTTCCTTGTAGAAGTATACAAGAATATACTTTAGCATATTAAGTGGCTATTCAATTTTCATTTCAGGACCACTACCATTTAAGATTAGAAAATATGGGAAGAAAATACGTATAAAATAGCCTGTAATGGTGACACTGAAGCTGATCTCATAGAAGAAGTAATCCAATTTTTCAATGAGCAGAAGAACTCTAAGTAGATCATTTTTATAGTATTCTGAATGCTATTCCTGACATATACCATACCGAGGGCATTATCTTTATTCTGCATTACATTTTCCGGAAAAAGAAGTTGTGGGAGATTAAAGAACGATTCTTGAAGTCTGAAATCTGTGAAAAAAAAAACACAAGATGCTGTAAAGGGTTGGCTGATGATTAAAAATGGCCTTCAATGATGTAGTGGCCAAAAGTTAGAACAACACTCCCAAATAAGCTGACTAAACATAGCATACATGAAGTAGTACAAACCTTAATTTTTGTAAGGAGCTCTTTCATGGAAAATGTAAGCATAACTAACTTGAAATATAATTTCATAATCTGTTAACACCCAGATATCCCCCAAATTCATAGCTAATTCAGTTCCTAACCTATATGCAAAACAATGCTAAAAGAAACAGATCTTTTCATTATATGTTAGAAAAGAAGTCCAGACTTTTCAAAAGAAATGAAGAATAGTTATGTAAGATGCTTCAGCTGGATGAAAATAAAATAGGTTTCAATTGAAAACACTTCTTCTTCATATAAAGAAACTGACAGATCATGAATTCTATGCCTGTGTCCAATTTTAGCCTCAAATAGCAAGAGAATCAAAGTTTGTAGCTTCAGAATAAAGGTTATCCAGAAGAACTGAGGCAATTAATGTAAGTAGAAGGAAGAAAGAAGGGACGCCAGAATCACCTAATCACAATGACCAAATTTCAGAAAGAAGATTTAAGAAAAGTTTTATGATTTGCACGATATAACCAAGACAGCACTAACGACGAGAAATTACAACGATTACACAGATTATTGAAGCAAGTCAAATAATTAGTAAAGCAAACCTTGGGGATAGGATTTAGAAGACAGAATCTTAGTATAGTTAATAGTCAAATTTTAATAGTTATCTCTGTATCTAGAGATGAATATGTGTAATATGTGAATATGTGTAAGACTCATGATTATGTCATATTGAGTCTTGTTGACAAGAAATTTACCGTTTGGACCATCAGAGAATTTATATGCAAGAATGACATAGTATGTTTTTGTTAAGTTCTCCAAATAAAAAGATGCAATACAGCTATGCACATCTACTAACTGCTGTTCTGGAAGAAAAACTCGGGGTTTCTCTATAATTTTGAAATTACTATGTTAAACAGAAAAAAAAAAAAAACTTAAAAGGTTTTATTCCTTCAGCTCCTATGGATTCTATACATATGTTTTCATTACCCTTTTTTCTAGGGGGTTAAACCCTATCCTGCTCTTCTTGCTCCTGCACTCATTCTAATGTTTACTAGCACTACTCTTGTGCATTAATGACATTACAGAGAATCATGGCTTTTTACCTGCTACCTTACAAAATTCTTTGAAACTAATTTTCCTTGGAAGTTAGAGGTTTCTGCATGCCACAACAGAATTTTATATTTTCACAATTATATTTTTAATATTAAGTAGAAAAGGAAACAAGTTAGAAAGAGTGTGAGAACTCTTATAGGAAAACTAAAATATATTTAATGCAAATATCAAAGTCGAAAACTGAATTTTCTAGACTTGAAATTATAAAATTTTCAGTGCCCAGAGTCTGGCACAGATAGAATTAAATTAAAAATGCTGTTGGCCCAAATAGGAATGTTCAACCCTATTAATAATTTATCCTGGAGTGGAGTTGACTGTGGAAGCACTATTCAGCCTCTAGGAGTGTCACACCTGAACTTCCTTTTTAAGGATGGATGGCAATGAATGCCATCACTTTACAATTTAGAGTAGCAGACACAGTAAGAACACAACACTGTAAGTAACTGAAATAAACTCTGTTAAAAAATTTTTAGAGAAAGAAAGTTTTCTTCCTGCTATAGTTATAGAAAAGGAGTAGCTAGTTTCAGAATCTGTATTTCTTTACAGGTGTCAATAAAAAAAATAAGATGACATTTTAGTTTTATTTTACTAGACACTTAAAAATAATGGTCAAGTTCAGACTCTTGAAAGTAAATATATACAAATATATACTAAGTGTATTCGCGTTTCACAACTATTCAAGATTTTAAACTCTGTAAGTCCACTGGAGAAAAGTTCAATAAAGATCTATTATAATGCTAAGTCCAACATAACTATCCATTTATTTACTGGTTTTTTGAAGATCTACTTTACATTAGGTAGCTGGGATGGAAGTGGAAGCCATTCAGCAGATCCAATAAAATTTCTAAGCTTTGAAGGTCTTATAATTAGGTTGGATGAAGGCAACCGGGGGATTAGAAGCAGGATGACTTTGGTATAGCAGTTTTTAAAAGTCTCGAGACTAGATACAGCATAGATCTGAAGCAATAATTACATGATTTCTGAGACTGAGAAGACCAGATCTAAAAAATTCAGGAGGAACGCACCCTAAAGTGATTTGTTTTATACTTGATGTTTAAGACCCCTGTGCCACAAGGCCTTAATTATTAATGTTCTGTTAATTCACCCATGTAGAAAGTAAAACTGCATTTTCCTGGAAATTAGTCTTAAAAATATAAGCAGAAGGAAAGCATTTTTTTCCTTCAAAGTTAACGCACACTTTAGATCTTAGAGTTGACTAGCTGGTATTAGTATCTTAGACCTCCCTGCCCTCCCCAAGTTTTAAAAAGATACAGTGTAAACTTAAGGAAATAAGGTATGAACTAACATGCAGTATCAAGGAAGCCAGAGCTGCTATGTGGAAGGGCCTGTGTTGCCATGGCGGTAGCAGGAGGTGAGGCAACTGGCTTCTTCTCATCTTCCACTGAGTCTTTTGATGTTTCAGATGACTGTGTTGCAGATGAGCGTCCAAATCTTGAGAACAACATTCCTCCAAGTCCCTTTCCAATGCTAGCAGCCCCTGTATTTCACAAAACCGGGTAGTCATTCCGTTGAATTACACCACATGCTAGGCTAAAGAGCACCACCCATAATTATAGCCAATTGGCAGAGGGATCAAACCCTAGTCATGTTTTTCCAGGGTGGGAACATAAGAAAATTATAATTTAGATTGTAGGTTTCTAAATAAAAATGATGAAGAGAATGAGAGTTGTACAAGTTCTAGGAATATAACATAGGAATATATAAACAAAGGAATAAAGATTCTATTTTATTCAAGTGATCATGGTTTATTAAAATATTTGGCAAGATTAAAATCTTTAATAAAAGAACTATGCTATCAACATGAGTATAGACTTGCTATTGATATACTTACTGGTGAATATAAATGGGTATTTAAGAAAAAGCCATCAATAAACAATGTATTAATATGACAAAGGGAAACTGCAAAGGAGTCCTGCAGATAAAGCCTATTTATAGTGCCACCTTGTGGTATTTTATATTAAGGCGACTTGTAAAGCAATGGACAGATTCAAATAGCACCCAAGAGTTCCAGTGACACAGCAAACACTGTGCTAGTACTGGGGATTGTTCAAAGAAAAATTAAACATCCTTGTTGTCCTCAGAAATTACATAGTTTGAGAAACTTTTAGAACAGATCAGAGAACTGGCTGGTAGGGAGCACCCTCTAACACAAATACTTTCTCATTTCACAGATGAGCAAGTAGAGCATTAAAAACTGATATTATTTGCTCAAGATCTTGTAAGCAAGTGGTAGGACCAAGATTAAAACGAGGGACTTGACTCTCATAACAGCTTTTTCTGGTCCATCCAGCTAGCTCATATTCTAAAACTACAAGATCTGATCTAATTAGATAACCTAAGAGCTTTCTCGGCCTTAAATATGAACACTGGGAGGACAGTTAATTCTAGACATGGGGATTAACTATTGAGAGTTTCCTAATACACAGACTATTTCTAGTCCCCCAAACTTAATGCATATAAATGTGCTTATATTATAGATAAGAATAGTTAAAAGAAATTACCTAATATGCTTGCTTTGCCTATATTTGTTATAGATTCCCCATAGTGTCGGCGGGACAAGACTGGTGAGGTCACGGGGCTTGGTATGGTTGAAATGCCTTCATTCTCTGAAATTGAGGTAGGTTCTTTAGCTGGGTTGAGAAAGCTTGGCTTCATATGTTCATAAGGTAGAGGATTTGAAGTATTATACCAATGGATCTGGACAGGTGAAATGTTGCTGTAGTGTTTCAGTATTAATGGTTCTAATCTATAAGCCTTGTTTAAAAAAAAATTCAAAGAAACACAACGTTAAGACACAATGCTTAGATTTTAGTAAACTGTTCTTACTCTACTGTATGTTAAGTAAACTTTGGAGAAGGAATTTATTTAAAAAACAATAACTATTTCCAACATGTATTTCTATTTGTTCACTGTTAATATGTAGTTGGTCTAATGATGAGATTATGAAAAACAGTCTAGGCTAATAGTGTCTATCAATTAGTTTTTCAGAGAAATATATTTTTATTATGTTCATATATCATGTAACAATTACATTTATTTTAGTCTCATGAGCAAAGCTGAAGTAGTAGTTGGTAATCCTGGGAAACAGCAAATAAGACCAATTTTTAGTGTTTCAGGAGCTCTTTTTAAGCTCTATTTTAAAACAGATTAATATGGTAACAGTATAAATCACATGCCAGCCTAAGAGCATCTGTCTCATGTGAAGTAGTGATGAGACAGCAGAAAAGGCAATGTATATGTTGTCAGAATCCCACAAATTCATATTCTGGTTTATATCCCTTATTAATTTTTTAATTTGTATTTTTAGAAAATTTTATTTTATTTTTAAAGATGGAGATGGGGTCTCGCTATGGTTCCCAGGTGGGTCTCGAATTTCTGGGCTCAGGTGATCCTCCCTCCTCAGCCTCCCAAAGTGTTGGGGTAACAGGCATGAGCCACTGTGGCTGGCCTCTGTCACTTATTAACTGCATGATGCTTGTCAAGTCGCTAAGTCTCAGAGCCTTCAGTTTCCTGAGCTGTAGAAAGGAGTAACACTTCCTCTCTTACAGAGATGTGAGAAAGAACAGGTAACATTTATAAAAACTGCCTTGCACAATTCTGACATTAACTATTTTAAAAAGTATTAATTTTAAAAAAAATCACAGAAAAACTATAAAATGAATAATAAAAATTTATGAGTCTGGAACCCTCCTTTAAAATTACAACCACATTTAAGATATACAAAGGACAGGGCTCAGAGCACACCTATGAACTGAAATTCACTTTCAAGTTATGAGACAATGAATAAAACGAGTATATGTTAATGAAATGTTTATTGTCTAGCTGGCTGTATACATTTTACTTAATCCTAACAATCCTAGAAGGCAAAATATTATTATCTACATCACACAGATAAGATACAGTCTCAGAAATAACTTGGTCAGGACTGTGCAGTTTGTATTTGAATATTAAACTTCCAGTTTGGTGAAGTTAATATAGCAGTTTTAAGTCTTTAACATATGGGAGATTTTCTAAAATTTGAATGGTTAGTCAATGTTATCTTTATTTGGTGCTAGCTAAAAGGATTCTTTAAAAGACTTTCCACAATTATATAAAGCTATTTTTTTTCAGAGAATAAATGCTATTTAAAATAATTTAATATTTAGTTAAACCTAGCCTTTTCCCCAAGAAGTTTTAAGGAGGCGTTTTTCTTGTCTAAAAATCTTACTTGGCATTACACTGTATACCTGGATGCAGGGTTCTCGGAGTGCTTTAATTAAAAACAAATATTTACAACATAAACATGATAGAGAATAAAAAAATCCAACGTTTTGCAATTATACTAGGCTAAAATGTTTATTTTGATGTTTAACATATATTTGCATATTTTCATTTTCACAGTCTACAAAACACATTCCAATATTGTAGCATTCCTTAGATAAAGTATTTGGAGCAGGATTTTTAAGATTTATGGTTTCTAGGTTACTGGTATTACAATTGGTTAAGGTTTGAAAGTCCAGCAGATTCCTGTCTCTGGTATGTAGTCTGGGAATAATATTTTTACATTATGTTCTTGTATTACAAGTGTAACATAACCAGACCATCGCTAAGGTGTTTTATGAACCGCAAATTAACCAAAACACACATTTAGTAATCAAAGTATTTTTCATTAATTCAATGGCATCTTGTAAGATTTCTGAGATAGATTTTTTTTTTTTTTTTTTTTTTTTTTGTTGGGTCTTACTCTGTCACCCAGACTGGAGTGCAGTGGGGTGATCTTGGCTTATTCCAACCTCTACCTCCCAGGTTCAGGTGATTCTCCTGCCTCAGCCTCCTGAGTAGCTGGGATTACAGGCATACACTACCACGCCTGGCTAATTTTTGTATTTTTTTAGCAGAGACGGGGTTTCACCTTCTTGGTCAGGCTGGTCTCAAACTCCTGACCTCAGGTGATCCTCCTGACTTGGCCTCCCAAAGTGCTGGGATTACAGGTGTGAGCCACCACATCCAGCCAACAGATTTTTTTTAGGAACAATCTGATATTGAGAAACAAAGTCTATATTGCAACTCACCACCGGGTCTGTAGGATGAAAAATATTTAGTAACCGGTTACAAATCTCTCTAGGCAAAATATGGTCTTGACTTCCAGTATTTCCTGGGCGGATGCCACGCAATGCCAAAAAAACTGCTAATGGGGATCCCATACAGAAGAAATTCTCAACCTAAAATGATAAAGTCATTTTAAAGTTTAAAAATGGTGAAGTATTATTTTTCAACAAAATCTAGGCATAACATAATATATGACGAAATACAAATAATAAAATTATCTTTGAGTAAATGTGTGTGTTTTTTTCTTTTTTTTTTTTTTTCTGGCATTTGTTTCTGAAGTATATTTGTTTTTAATAAGAGTTGTCCAGTTGGGCTCTGCCATGAGCCATTCTAGAATAATCTATTTCCATATTTCATTATCTTTAAATCTAATAGAAGTTCAATAAAAGGAAGATAAGGATCATTTTCTTACATATTTGTATACACTAATCACAGATTTATTCAGCTACTACTTTGTGTGAATAAGCTAGGTGCTGTGATGGATACAAACACCAATAAGGCACAGCTTCTGCACTCAAAGTTTACAGTCCTGTGGGGGAAAGCAGAATAAAATATGTTCATAACAGAGGGAAAGAATGCTATAAGAGAGCGAAAAAAATAATTCCAACTCCGAAGCCTTTACAGAGGAGGTAGCATTTGTATTGGCCAGTAAAAGATATAAAGGGTTTCTACAGTTGAGGCTGGATTTTGGGGCTGGAAAGAATAATGTTCCAGACTGATAGAACCAAATGAACTTAAAGCCAAGGTAGGAAATAACTTGGTTTATTTTTGAGAATAAAAATAGTCCACTATGGCTGAAAAATTGGTGTGCGGAAAATGTAGCTTAGAATATTGATAATATTCCGAACCTTGACTGACAAAGAAAGCTGGACTTACAGATAGTGAAGGAGAACAAGATTTCAGTCACATTTTAGGAGTTAAACCTGATGGTAGTGTGTGGGTAAATCAGAAAACTGAGAGTCTGGTAACTTGGAGGCAAGTTAGGAATCCACTGAAAGAGTTTAGGGAAGAGGAAATCTGAAATAGAGAAGGACAAGCTGTGCCATTCAGAAATGGAAATGTGAGAGGATATGCTGGAATCAATATGACTGAATGGGGGTGGGGATGAAGAATGGGTCAGAGACAATTCACAAGATTTGGGTCTGGCTGACTAGGAGGATAGTGGCTCCATTCATTGTAACAGAGAACTCTAGGAAAATTCTGTTTTTTGTGCATTGTAAGTTTGAGGTTTCTGTAAGATGTAGCTGAGAATTTAAGAGCACAAGGCATAGAATTGGATATGTCCCCATCCAAATCTATGAGTCGCCATCATAGAAGTGACATGTAAAACCAAGTGAATAAGTAGGCTTGCCTAGGAGCACAGAATAAGGGAGGGGTTTATATAGAATTATGATGAATGTCTACATTTAATTAGCAGGTGAAGGAGGTATAGCTATAGAAGGGAGAGTAAAAAGAGAAAGAGGATAAAGTAGTATCATAGAAGCCAGCGGAGGAAAGGACTTCAAGAAAAACAGGGTGGTCAACAGCACTGAATTATATACGAAACTTAATACCTTTCCCACCTAACTCCACACTACTACCTCTCATATGTACCATCTTTATGAATGAGGTTCCGTATTTTTCCTTCCTTCTCATCCCAACATCCAATAAGTCACATTAACAGAATCTAACATTTCACCTCATTACCTGTTCCCTGGACTATACTGTAACAGTGTCCTTGCCTCCAATTTTATACACAATGCCTCTAGAGTGATTTATTTCTTTCAAAATAAACAAAAATGAATGTATATTTATTTTGAAGTAGAATAATTAACTTTCATTTGAATCCTAAAGGCATATTTCAAATGATGTTAAAATAAATACTGAGATAAATGTTTAAAAACACATTGCTCTTTCCTTACCTTAAATTTTAAGGCAGGTGTTTGTGTCATAGATGATGCTTTCAATCCATGCAGCCGTTCTTCTATTTCCTTCAGCCTAAGAAGGGGTATGAAATTATATATACACACGTATTTACAATTTCATAAATATTAGATGCTTGCTAGTTTCCTAAAGTATAAAGATGCAGATGATGGCCCATTATCTGTCACCTTAATCCTGGTTGACAGTGTTTAATAAATGTTTCTGCCACAGTACAAAAAGTGTATAAACATTTATGAAACAATTAGTTAAAGTATCTCCAGTTGTCATGATAACTGCTGTTAATAGCTTTTTTGGTAGTAAAATGTGAGGCATATACAAGCACATACACACTTTAAAAAAAATTATACCAAATGGTTAATACCATATATACTGTTCTCTCTCTCTTTTCTATACTTAATAGTTTAGAGATCTTTTCATTTCATTGCCTCCTGACCTACTCCAATATTTTTTAACAACTATGACTGTCCAAAATGCAGGTGAACCATAGTTTAACCCTTCTCTGTTGATGAACATCATTTTCCATTACAATGTTTCATAGCTACTTAACTATGTAAACTATTTAGTAAACTATAGAATTAAGTTTTTTTTTTTTTTTTTAAAGCTATAGTTGGCCAGGTACAGTGGCTCATGTCTGGAATCCCAGCACTTTGGGGGGCTGAGGTGGGCAGATCACTTAAGGTCAGGAGATTGAGACCAGCCTGGCAACATGGTGAAACACCATCTCTACTAAAAGTACAAACATTAGCCGGGTGTGGTGGCAGGTGCCAGTTAGCCCAGCTACTGGGGAGGTGGGAGAAAGGAAAATTACTTGAACCCAGAAGGCAGAAGTTGTAGTGCGCCGAGATTGTGCGACTGCACTCCAGCCTGGGCAATGGAGCAAGACTCCATCTCCAAAAAAAAAAAAAAAAAAATCTGTTATTTTCCATGCTATTTGCTTGCTTACTTATTTTTATTTTTTTAGGTTTTACTGGATTTATACATCTAAGATGATGCTCTGAGGCTTGCCAAACATAATACATTATTTCAAAACTATCAATTATTTTGACAGTATAATATTTATGTATGTAGCCTATAGTACTTAATAAGATTCTAAATAAAATCCTTAGTTAACATCTATATGACAAAAACAAAACAAATAAAAATTTTAGTCAATTAGCACATTTGTTTTAACATGATACTAAATTATCAAAATGAGTGATTTTTCATTGCCATCTTAGAATTAGCTGGATAAAAAGAACACAGACAGTAGGGCATGTAACTAGAGATGAAGGCAGAAATGTAGCAAAGAATTAAAAGATAGTATCGGGAAGGCCATAAATGATTAAATAATTATAATATCTATAATTACATAACACAATTATGTTTATATATATAACATATGTAAAAAATGTATTTGCCAGAAAAAGCACTTAAAAATTATTTTCAGAATAACAACGAAGTTAGAAACCCACCTCAAAAGGTCAGTAAAACTACAAACATTTATAAACTGGTAAACATTTTCAGTAAGGATTCTATGCAGTGACTAAGCTTGGAATAAGTATTAAATTTAACTCCTAACAAGTTGTGAAGAAAAGATGAAAGGAATGCAAGGAGAATAACAAAACAATTTATTTTATGCTGTAGGAAAATGCATCTTATTACTATGAAAATTAAGTCTCTAGTTTGATTAGGCAAGCTATGTAGTAATCTTTATATCCTGAACCATGCATTGTTTCTTTATCATGCAATTTTTAGTTTTCTCCCAAAAGGTCCAATAATTCCACTAAGAAATTTAAAAGATTTTTCATAAGATTAGGATATTTTACCGTCGTTTTGTTATATAGAGTTCATCAAGAAGATGTCGTTCTTCATAGCTTATCCATCGTTCATCAGGCAACTCTTCTTCCTTTTGCAGCAACTGTTCATAGAGTCGAACTGGATTCCAGCCAGTCATTATGTCATAAGTAATTACACATCCCAAGGAATGTGACACTATTGAGACTTTACCCCCTTTTTCTTCAAAGTCTGGATTCCGAGAACAGAAAAGGGAATATAATCGATTCAGCTCTTGCTGAAGGCCTTTAACTAGCTGTTTGAAACAAGAAAACATTATCATATTAGATTGTCACTGACTTATTTTAAACTCAAATATATTAAGGTAGAAAAACATGCATTACTGACTGAATATACCTAGGTTATTAACTTAGATCTTTCAAAATCTTGCAGGAATAAAGTAAGGTATACATAATATTATAATCCATATCATCACTAAGAATATAGGCAGATAGGCTGAGGCATGTGGATCATGAGGTCAAGATATCAGGACCATCCTGGCCAACGTGGTGAAACCCCATCTCTACTAAAAATACACAAATTAGCTGAGTGTGGTGACGGATGCCTGTAGTTCCGACTACTCGGGAGGTTGAGGCAGGAGAATCACTTAAACCTGGGAGCCGGAGGTTGCAGTGAGCCGAGATCTCGCCACTGTACTCCATTCTGGCGACAAACCAAGAGTCTATCTCAAAAA